CAGCGGGTGAGGTCTAGGTTGGATATTAGGAAAAACGATTTCCCTAGGCGGGTGGGGAATCCCTGGGCTGGGTTCCCTAGGGAGGGGGTGGAATCTCCATCCCTAGAGGTGTTTAAGTCCTGGTTTGGCAAAGCCCTGGCTGGGTTGATTGAGTTGGGTTGGTCCTGCTGAGGGCAGGGGGCTGGACTTGGGGACTCCTGAGGTCTCTTCCAAGCAAAGTTAAGAGAATCTGATGTCTGACAATCAGCTTGCTGAACAATCACCCTTGTGAATCCCGTTGAGTCCTTGCGGGCTCCCGTTGGCTGGGATTCACAGACCGTTCCCTGTGCGCTGTGGGATGAGGGGCTCAGCTTGTCCCGGCAACCTGAATAACAGCTTCCAATTGCCTGGAAGGGTATTGCAAGGAAGAGAGGCCTCCCATGCTGCTCTCAGGCTCCTCCCTGGCCCAGGCCTGACTTCCCCCTGCTCCATTGGCCGGATTCAGAGCGAAGGAGCAGCAGGAAAAGCCTGCAGGCAGTGCACTGGTTGCAGCTTTGGTCCTCCCGCCGGGGTGGGGGCGCGAGCACGCACGTGCAGAGCCGGGCGGAGCTCTAGCTTCTTCCCCAATTGCAGTGAGGCTCGGGGCTTTCTCCACTGCCCTGCCCCCGCCTGCCACTAAAAATCATCTCGCTTGCGGCAGATGTGGCTGACCCATTCCAGGTGTTTGCAGATAGATTTCTTCCGTACTTGCTCCATTATCTTCCCTGGCACAGAGGTCACACGGACTGGTCTGTCGTTCCTGGGTTGTCGTTCTTCCCCTCTTTAGAGAGGGGCACTAGACTTGCCCTTTCCCAGTCTTCTGGAATCTCTCCCGTCTTCCATGACTTTTTTCAAAGATGACAGCTAAAGGCTCAGCTAGAGGAGGTATCAGCTCCTTGCGTATTCTAGGATGCGTTTCAGCAGGCCCTGGTCACTTGCAGACATCTCGCTTTTCTAAGTCATTTTAACTTGAAATAAAAAACAACTTCTAAACCAATCCCTTCCCACTAGCATTCACTATGGCAGGCATCCTGTCACCATCCAACTTCTGGACAAAAACCAAAACAAAGGGGCTGTGTCTACACTGGCATGAATTTCTGGAAATGCTTAAAACGGAATACTATTCCGTTTTCAGTTTTTCCGGAAAAGGAGCGTCTACATTGGTAGGCTGCTTTTCCGGAAAAGCCCTTTTTCCGGAAAAGCATCTGTGGCCAATGTAGATACGCTTTTCCGGAAAACAGCCTCGATTGTCATTTTTGCGATCGGGGCTTTTTTCCGGAAAAGACTACTGGGCTGTCTACACTGGCCCTTTTCCGGATCAGTGTTCCAGAATAAGGACTTATGCCAGAGCGGGAGCAGAATAGTTTTTCCGGAATAGCGGCTGATTTTGTAAAGTAGAGCATCTCCGGAAATTCAAGGGCCAGTGTAGACAGCTCGCAGCTTATTCCAGAAAAGCAGCTGATTTTCCGGAATAAGTGGCCCAGTGTAGACACAGCCAGGCTGCGTTTAAGCACCTCTGCCGTTTGCAAGTTTCCTGTTACTCCCTCTTCAGTGAGCAATAGGCCCCCTTGGTCTTCCTCTTCGAATATATTTGTAGAATGTCAGCTTGTTACCCTCTGTCTCTAGCTAGATTGAGCTTGTTTTGTGCCTCACCTACCAGCTCTCTGAGTTTGCTAAAATCTGCCTTCCTGAAATCCATTGTCTCTGTTTTGCTGTTCTCCCTTCTACTGTTCCTTAGAGTCTTGACTCTGTTCCATGAGCCCTTTCACCCACGCTGCCTTCTACTTTCAAATGTTCAACCAGTTCCTCCCTGTTTGTTTGAATCAAATCTAGAACCGCTTCCCTCTCGGGGCTTTCTCAACCGGAAATAAAAACGGATGCCTGGATAGATAAGTCCCTCAGCGCCACCCAGTCCTGCGTTTTGGATTATTTTGTTAGCTGTTTTTAAAAAAAAACCTCTCACACCTCTTCCACCTGGCTAGGTGGCTGTAGCAGGCTTCGGGCATGATATCCCCCTGGGTTTTTACCCCTTTTAACCTAACCCGGCTGCAAGTCTCTCCTATGTCCCATCTCCACCTCGCTCCGAGTGAACACTTTTAATAGAAGGCGACTTCTCTTCCCCCGCCCGTCCTGCCCCAGCTGGCTGTTCCCTTCCCTCCCGGCATTCCAGCCGGTGCATGGGGGCGCTGCCATTTCCCCTCTGCCTGGCAGAGGCAGCCCAGCCAGGGGCACTTGGTGGGTCTGGGAGGCCCTTACTCCAGGCTGCCTGGGGTGGGGGGGCACAAAATGTCAATGCCCGCTCAGGCCTCAGACTCGGGCCCGCAGGCCACACACACCAAGAGCTCTGCCCCCCTCCTGCTCCCCAGGACCACAGAGCCGGAACTGGCTGAGGTTGTGGGGCTGGAAAGCTGCAAATAATGTAGCATCTGCTTTGAATAGGCTACGACTATGCACCACCTCATTTACATGACAAAGTTCTAACCCTTTCCCCTCTGGCTCCACACCTGCTGCTGCTCCGCCCTACCCTGGAGCGAGGCCAGCTGCAAGCAGGGGGCTGGCCCGGAGCCGGGCAGCGGCTGCCGGGCCCAGGGCTCAGGAGGGAGAGAGACGCGCTGGCACAGTACTCTGGGGAGCAAGCTCCACTCCTTTGTCTGCTACGGCTGAGCGGTGCCCTCTGGCCCGGCCAGCACCGGCAGCCTCGGCCTTCGTGCCACCCACCGCCCAGCAGGGAAAGCAACTGGGCTGGCGCTGAGTTCTCAGCCGGGGTGGGGAAGGCTCCCTCCCAGCTCTGCACTGGCCCCGAGGAAGGGGGCAGGACACTGTCCAGATGCCCGACGGGGTGGGATGGGGGCGCTGGTCTCCTACACGGACCCTGCACGGATCAGGCTGAGCTTTGGGACGTTGCGGGGGCTGCCTGGCTGTACCCACCTCCCCTCTCACCTCCTGCCTCTGGCTGGCCAGGGGCTGCAGCCAGGCAGAGGTTTCCCCCGCCTCCTGGGGGCTGCAGATGGTCCCAGCCAGGTCTTAGCGCTGGGAATAGGGTGAGGCTCCAGCCCGGCGGTTGCTGCCAAGGGGTCAGATGAGGGTTACTGGGGGTGTCATGACCCGGGGAGTTCTCAGCCATGGGCCAGCACACAAGGCCCTGGGTCTGCCAGGGCTGGGG